CAACCAACACCATTGAGACCAGTGGAGAAACAGTCTAATGTGAAGAGCACAGGCATGACCAGAGAGTTTGGTGGTCAGTGGCTAAGCAGTGTTACACGTCATGTCAGGATTTACGCTGCTTATATCGATCCAGAGACTTGTGAGTTTGATCAAACACAAATGGATAAACTCACTTTGATTCTTGATCCTACTGAAGAGTTTGTTTGGGAAGATGAAAGTTGTAACAAGGTTTATTCTTATTTCCAAGAACTTGTTGATCACTACGAGGTAATACTACTTAACTTATTATGTGTTCTCCTTTTGATTCTAATCCAAACAAGAACCGGTTTTTCCGGGTTTTGTATCTTTGCTAAACACTTTTAACAAAAAAAAAAAAAAGTCATCTAAAATTTTCATTCATAACCAGCCTTGAGTTTTAGAAAACCGCAAGCTAGAGAGAAAAAAAAATGGACCAATTTTGTAGGAAACAGCAGATCTAGTTTTTAGTAAACAGTAAGTTCATGTTTGGTCTGCTTGTGCTCAGGGTCGGCCTAAGAGCTTATAATCTACTTTGTGTTATTAGATTTGGAAGAGACATTGAAAGTGAATATGTTTTTTTTTTGTTTAGTATTAAAAAAGAGATTGTTTTGTTTTATGATTTTGGACAGGGAGCACCATTAACGGAGTATACATTAAGATTGATAGGATCGGACATAGAACATTACATAAGGAAAATGTTGTTTGATGGAGAAATACAATACAATATGGATGCAAGAGTTCTTAATTTCAGTATGGGCAAGCCTCGTGTTCAATTCAATACTAGCAACATTGAAGGTGTTGGAGATGATCAGCCTCAAGAAGAAGAAGCAAAGTAAAAACAACTTTATATATACATAAACTATGTAATAGTGGAGATTATCTAAATTATATGATCTTTTGTATATGAGTTTATACTAGTAATGCTTTTAAATTTCTCATACTACTACACTACAAGTCTTTGTATCTTTTGTATGTTCATGTTGATATGTAAGGTTTAGAAATTTTCAAAAATGATGCAAATATTGTTAGTTTTACAGTTTTGCTTAGGGGTGGGAAGATTACCGAACTGAACGGAAATTCT